TTCAGGCTCCCATCCTCTCTTATGACATCCATGTTTGAGGTAAACTGAAACTGTTTCTTCATCAATTTAAAATATTCATATTTCAACTATTGTCCCCTTCTTTTACATTGTAAAATTATTCCAAACAGAGTGATCTATGTGATATTATGGATCAAATTGGCTTTTATTTGTGGCTAGAGGAGTGTACATGCATTTATAACATAGTTTCTTTAATAAACTCTGTTTTTGAGTCTCAAATATTCTATTCACAAGTGAATCTTTGGAACATACTACCACTTAAACATGGGGGACTGTCTAAAAACAGTTGAATTTAAGGGAGTTGTAAATCCTGATGGCATCTTTTTAGCAATGAACTTTAATTATTATAAGACAAGTGGCTTGACTTACTTATAATAAAAGGAGAGATCTAAATGCTGGCCGACATTGTGTATCCAAACTCCAGTCTTAGAAAACCAGAAAGTGAATGGATTACTTCATCATACCACCACACAAATGCCCAATTACAACTGGAAAAGGGAGTCTAGACCCTCAGTGGGTTGAACATTTCTGGAATATTACTTAATAATAAAGTAGAAAATAAATAGGATATTCAGAAATCTGTGACTGAGCAGATGGACAAATAGGACTTGGTCCAATTCCCACTTCTATGCTCCACCTCTCATGTCATGATCATGCCCTGTGGCCTGCTTCTTTCTGTCTCCCAGACCTATTAGCAACCTGTTCAGCCAGCTGCTGTCACAGCTGAAACCCTCCCCACCTCTATTTTGTTTCAACAAATAGTCAATCTGCCTCATCAGGCAATGTGGGCCTGAGCACATGTAAGCTGTGTTCTCAGTGCTGCGTGTAACTCTTTCCCAATATTTTAGTAAGGTGGGAGATCAATAGAGAAGCAGAAAGGTCTCCTAGTAAAACAACCAAACAAGGCGTTTGCAACTTGATGGAGCTTGGACTATGGAGAAAAGCAGAGTTCAAAACGCCTCCACATAAATTATTCACTTATTACCTCTCTATCTTCAACTGTTTAAGCTTCTGCTGTGTGTAAGACACTCATTAGGAGCTTTGGTGGGCTGTCTGGTTAAATAAAATATGATTATTTTCCTTAGAGAACTGGCATTCTTTGGAAACATTCTACAAAAATGGATGATGTAAAGGCACTTAACAAGGATTTCTAAGAAACTGCTGCCTCTACCTGTCATGTTTTGGTGGCCAAAGTGTTCCCGGAACATCCAAATGGCCAGTGGCATACACAGGGTTACCTAGAGGACCAGGTATTCCAGGACAATTGCCACTGTGTTCCCCAATCTTTTCCTCAGCCGTCTTCTCACCCACATATTCTAAGAAAAACCTTGAACAAAAAGTATTTTCCTGTGCATATTTCTCTATGGATACATATTTTCATGTTTAAAGCAACAGGTTCTGTTTTCAGCAGAATTTAAGTTAATTCTACTGTTTTTTATTTTTCCCTTACCAGAAATGTTTAAAAACAAGGTTTACATTTAGCTAACAAGTTGGTAGCAGTTGGGAAGAATACAATCAAAATCATACCAATTCCCTCTTAGGACCCCATCCCTTGTTCTTCATAAAGAGTTAGAGAAGTCAGAAATTAAAAACCTCAAAGTGAAAACTTGACAATAATTTATAAATGAAACCCCTCACTAAAATCACTTTTAAAACCATCTTTCTGAGTAAAAGTAAATTTTGCAAAACAACAACAAAAACTGGAAAATCTACATTAAAGTAGAGAGTTCCTGTGATCTTTAACCTTTTCTCCAGGTTAATTTTGCCAAAGAGCAAGTGGGGGAGGGAATCATCCCTCCCCCCTCTAATCCCTCTATTCTTCCCCAAACTCTCTCACACACTTATAAACAAATAAACAAACAAACAAAAAACTAGTACTCATAATTCTTTTTAAAAATGTTTAGCCAGGCGAGGTGGTGTATACTGGTAATCCCAGCATCGGGACACTGTAAATTCATTCGAAGCCAGCCTCAGCAAAAGCCAGGCACTAAGCAACTCATTGAGACCCTGTCCATGAATTAAAAAGGGTTAGAGTTGTGCTCAGTGGTTAAGTGCACCTAGGTTCAATCCCTAGCACAAAAGAAAAGAAAAAGAAAAAGAAAAAGCTTTTATTAATCCATTATAGCTATATCTAATAGAAGGGTTCATTTTGACATAATTACACACACATGGAATGTAATTTGCTCCATTTCAGTCCTTAGTGCTTCCTATTATCCTTTCTTCCTCCCTCTCTCAATTCCTCTTCCCTCAACCTAGTAGTCTTCTTTCTATTTATTTACTGTTTTTTTCATGCTCTATAAATACACACAAACATGAAATTCACAGTGGTATGTTCATATATATATATATATATATATATATATATATATATATATATTATAATTCTGTCAATTTCAATCCTTAATTTTTCCCTTTTCCCATTCCTTTCCCCTTCCTCTCAATTCTCTTCCTCTACTCCATTGATCTCCCCTCTAATTTTGAAACATTTATAATTCTCAACACTGTCATTCTTTTAATCTATCATAAATTATGGTAGAAATTTTGTTAACTTTATACTCTAATTAACTTTGCTGCTGATTGCTGGGAAACTTTCAGTGAGAAATGGTTCTCCAAAATTGAGCTGAGAATGCACACTTTTTTAAATTAAAAATGAGAGAGGTTGAGAATGAAGCTTAGTGGTATAGTGCTTGCCTGTCAAACACAAGACCCTGGGTTTGATCCCTAGCACAGAAAAAAAAATGAAAAGAGAAAAGAAAGAAAAAATAGGGAGTTTGCATAAATATAGAAAGTCAAAATTTATGAATAAAAGTATTTTTCATTTTCAATTTATCTTATTCATATTTTTCATATGTAGTGTTATATTTTGTTAAGCCTATGAAATCTAATGACTGTGTTTTGGAAGATAAGGTTCATAATGTTGAATATATGTTGGTTAATTTAGTTAATAGTATTTGATTTGCAAACATGAGACTTCCAGACCCAGGTCTGCCCTATAATTTGTTGTGCAAAAAAATCCATTTTCTTTCCTTGAGTGTCAGTTTCTAACTAAAATTAGAGCTTAAACTAGGTGACTTTGAATATTGTGGTCTAAGATGCATCTGCGCTATGTCTTTGCCTCATGCTTGTCATAGGTCTGGGCATCTGAATTGGTATCAACCAACATGTTGCAGAAAAGGCACTGGAGAGAAGCTGTATTAATTATCTGTTAATGAGACCAAGGCCAAAACCTTACTCCCACTGTCTCAAAAATGTATAAACCTATCCTAAAAGGACACCGGATTGCATGATGAACAGCTCCGAGTTGTTGGTGAGTTGAAGACTCCTTTCTGTCTGAAGGTGAGCACAGTGGAAGATGTGTTGGTATACTAGGTCTCCTTTCTGGCCAGTTAAACTGACTGAGCCCTGGCTGCAGTATGTTCCCCTAACAGTGGAACAGAATTGACACTATAGATTTTGTTTGCTGTGATTTATTTTTCTAATGACCCTAGTCAAGATGCTCTGTCTCTTAGACATACTACAAAGTGAAAAAGGCTTGGGCTCTGAGTTCCAACAGCCTGGGTTCATATACTCCCAGCTCTTTCACTTGTCACAGTATGGCGACCTTGGGCCAGTGACTTACCTTTCCTGTGTTCCCTTTTCTCCTCTGTAATATACTGGTAAAAGTAACATGAGCCTCAGAGGAGGGTGCAGTATGATGGTTGTGACATGCCAAGTCTACATATGGATTACCATAGGTCACTGCGATTTTGTTTTTAACTTATGTAACTTTTTCAGATATTTTTCCTACATGTAATAATTTAGCACTCATCAATAAGGTCTAAAAATAAGGGTTTTTTTAAGTAAAATTACATCCATAACTTTTTAAATGTATTTCCCTCATGTACTTTACAAAATTCATATACTTGTGCATTTTTAAAAATTTTAATAAAATTATAATAAAAACAGGTTTGGGGATTGCCGTACAACGAGTTTTGGCAACCATTTTTTATGAAGGACCAGGTTTAAAATATTTTAGGATCTGTGACCACATGGTCTCTAGTTCAGTTATGGAGTTCTGCAATTGCATAGCAAGAGCAGGCCATAGACAATCATGCAAACAAATGGGCATTCTACATCCAATAAAACTTCACTATGGATGTGCAAATCTGCTTTTCATAGATTTCCCACATGCCATAAAATACTCTTCTTCTTTTTTTGATTTTTTTAACTATTTAAAGATGTAAAAACCTTTCATAGCTTCCAGGCTATACAAAAGCAGGGAAGCAGCACCTTTGGTTTGCGGGCTATCAATTGCCAATCCTATTGTACAAGAATAAATGTGTGGAAAGACAATTCATGCATTCAAAAAGTCATTAAATGAAATAGGAAACCACATTCAAAATACTGTTTAAAACAGTTTTTTATAAAACAGAATTGTGTTAATCTTGAACCTCGTCTAAACAAATGTACTTTTATTGGTATAAAAGAATAATTTATTAAATAAACAATTCTGTAGTAATATTAAATAACAGGACTAAAACTTTTTTAATGAAAGCTGGGAATGCAGTTCAGTGATAGCATGCTTGCCTAGCATGTATGAGGCCCTAGCTTCAATCCTCATCATGACACACACAAAAAATTTTTAATGAATTTTATGTAGAATGAGGAAGATTTTTGTGTAGATTATTTCTTTGACTATTTTTTAAATACTTGAAAACAAATATTTTGAATGATTTCTGAAATATAAATTTTGTAGCTTACTAGTAGATGTTTTAAATATTCTGAATACTTTAAAACATACACATTCATATTTTTATTTCTGAAAGATGAATAATTCAAAATCACCAAATGTTACAATATTTTCTTAATATTCATAGTGAAAGTAAAGATAAATATAATTTACATATAAATATATATGGAAATATCAATAAAATGGAATAACTGTTACCTTTAACAGTTAAAATAGCTTACCAAAGCGCTAATGTACACAGTATATTTAAACACTATCATATGGCCTTAAATTTCTCAACTGCAGGTCCTTAAGAGATAAAAAGTATGTAAAGCATAATGTCTAACTTCACTTAATGAACTCTGCATGTTTCATAGTCAAAGCTTTAAAATAGTGATTTCCATCCATTTTTCATTTTTAAATGTATCACATAGGATCTTCATCCTTTTCACAGATACATATTTAGTAATAACAGAAAAAGTGCCTTTTTAATCTCTGAAAATGATTCTTCTCATTCATATGGAATCAAATAAAGGTGCAGAGAAGAGAGTTGAAACTTGGCATAACAGTTTCCGCTAACAATAAGTTAAAACATAAAGGAAAAATATCAAAACTACCCTAGTGTTTACAGTACACCAATATCATTATTTCAAAAACCCTGAATGTAGAGATACGCTGGACATACAGAAAGCTGAAAAAAATTATTTTTATTAAAAAGCATGATATAATCATTTAAAGTACCCTTTATAACACATGCTCACACCTGAAGAACCTCACTATCTAGTAAAAAAATAATGCCATTTCACTAAAACGTGAATATGACTCTTTTTTTCATAATTAGTGAGTGGGTTTTTTTAAAAAATGAAGCAATTTCCTTAGGAAAAAAAATTCTGCCAATTAAGATATCATCATTTTGAGGAAAAAAAAAGTATTTTCCTCTGAAGGTAATGAAATTCAGTCCCCAGCTTTATGAACATCCATTGATTTATCCCAGTGAGAAAATCTTATTGTGCTTCTAGACTTTTCACTAGCAACTGTGTGAGATGGCATCTGGAACCAGACTGGACGTGCGAAACAACTTCCATCACCCCTAAATGTTTTTGTCCAAAAGGTCTTTTCAATGACAGTGCTCGGCAGTCCTATAACATCATCTAATGTACTCTTTTCCCGACCACATATTCACAAATATTTAAGTTTATATTTAAAATCAATATCATTTAATGGCGGTAAAATACCAAGGCCTGCACGGGACTGGTCCAAAGGGGGACATTTAACATGGCTCTCCACAAGCTCTATTTCAAAATATAAAAGCATCAGAATCAGAAATTGCTTGATTTCTTGGACAGCAAATAATCTTCCAGGGCATATTGTAGCTCCTGATCCAAAGGGCATGTAGTAATACTTTAACTTGACACCATTGCTGTAGAAGGTGGTCTTTGTCTTCCGATTTTCATCAAGATATCGATCATATTTAAAAGTCTGCAATAAAAATACAAAGAAAGCAAGCACATAAACACGTAGCACTTATAAACATATCTCTTTCTTGACCTGGAGGCTCCAAAAGTAATTTTCACACACACACAAATATACACATTAACCTCTAATTTTGTGAATTTAGGAGGAAGTATATTTTAAGATAAAAGAAAGGAGCCAGCTTTATTATCATTACTGCAAATGTAGTCTAGCATAACAAAATTCTGGGAAAAAAATCAGAAATCTACGCTACTATCCAGATTTTCCAAAATATGACTACTTCACATAATTAAGGGGATAATCCCTATGATCCAATTGTAAATGCCCTTCCTATTTAGATAGGAGAGCTACCTTTGATACTGAACTTTGATGAACAGTCACTTACCAAAGGATCTGGGTAGATTTCTGGATCTAAATGCATTAATTGTGGGTAAAGAGCAATGATGTCATCTTTTCTGATGTTATAGGAACCTTCCTCCAGGTGCAAAGTGAAATCCTCCTTAGCTGTCCGAATGTTCAGGGAGGCACTGGAAAGCCTCAGAGCTTCTTTGATGATGCTATCTAAATATTTTAAAAGAAAGAAAGGGACAAAAGGAGAACGAAAAAGAGAACCATTTGAGTATTGGAAACCCATATAATGCAGAGTTTGAAACACTTCTGACATCCAACAACATGAAAATGAACAAAACATGGAAGGCTGACCAGAGAAAAACTTCCCACGCGCTCTTTCTGTCTCTACTAGGCCGTTATCAATGACTCACTTGTGTTTGAATATATTTTTAATCTGATCATCCGAGTTAACGTTTTACAAAGATATAACTTTCTTGGTCATCAGTGGGACTACATTTCTATCATTTTATAGAAAAGTAATCTTATTTTTATGTGACACTTAACAGATAATATAATTGGGAAAATTAATAACCAATTTTATATGAATTATTCAAAGTTTTCCATTTTTGAGATTTGAGAGACCGATAATATTTTTTACATAGAAATGTTTTTTCAGGTGTTTCTTGCCGTTTAAATCAGGTATTTAAAAGAATTTTTTTATCTATAGACTGTTTAATAGTATATGGTGATGCTCTGTTGCTGGGCAAAGGCATAAAAGGGACACACAGAATAGCTAAAATACAGAGTTCTCAGGAAAAGTCCAGCCTGGCCTCCAGTTCCCTCACTGTCATGTTGTAGGGGTTCATCACATGACTATGTATAAAATCACACAAGGTCAACTCTTTTTTTTTTTACTAATGAGAAAAGGGAGGCTCCCAAAAGAGAAATGACATATTAAACCTCCCAGGTTAGGCAGAGGTCAACCTAAGCTTTTCTTCTTCTCCCTTCTGGTAAACTGCCCCTCAAAGCATATCTTGGTTTTTTTTCCTTTAGTGAAAAACATTTTTAAAGATCATTCTTACTATAAACACATAGCACTTTTGTATTTCTATAGAATACAGAAGGACAAAAAGAAGAAAAATCAAATAGCATTCAACACCACTACTCAACCCATCTAGTTAATTATGGTTTTTTTTTGAAGGCACTTTGTCCCCTGTTATTTCATGCAAAGGAGTGACACGATTGCTCTAACTGTAAGATTAGTGGTAAAAGGAATAAGGAGAGCTACAGGATTATAGGGTGGTGATTGAGAGTATGCTACCAACAGTCACCCATTAGTGCTGCCAGGCAAAGCTCCTCACATTCCACCCTCACGGGGCTCAGCCTCTAGTTATCAGTTTCCTCTCTTGGTTTATAGAAATAGCAATAATGTCTAATTATAGGATAGTGATGAGGATTAAAAGAGCCAAATCGTATAAAATTATTTAGCATAATGTCTAGAACTCATTTAAGGGCCTGATATATGTCGACTGTTAGGACACAGTAGAAGGAATGTAGAGTAGCAAGCACACCTAGGACTGGCAGGTCATTTAGTTGCATCTGATTCAAATAAATAGGATCGCCTTCAAAACTGATTCTTTGACCAGCCTTCTCCAGTGCTGTATTCACTTCTTCCGTAGCTGCTTTCCTTGCTTCAGGATTCCTATTAAAAATTAAGATAAAATAAAAACACACAGAAAATAAATTTTTTTATACTCGGAGATCTGCAATCAAATAGACATTTTCCTCTTCTTTCAATGAGCTGATCAAGGTACCAGAGACGGTAGAAAAGGAATAATCCCATTTATTTGTACCGTATTTATAATTATGTTGATGCCCTAGGATCTTGGCAGGAATTGTGCCTTAAAAGGGCCTTATTACATCAGAGTAAAACTTGGGTCAGTTCTCTATAAATAAATAATTTTAATAAGGAATAAACAGCAATTTAGAAGAAAAATTGCCTCTAAGATAACAATGACAGAGTTTTGGCTGCATTCCAGATGAAAATTTGAATTCACCTCAAAATTTCGGCATTTTCATTTACATTATAATTTTGGAACGTGAAGTGAAGCCTGGTTCACTTTAGTGCATGGAATTTTGTTGGAGCCTCAGTGAGCTTGGGGTTCTATGTTACATAGTTAAAGTGAAATGAGTTTCAGAAAGGTTTGAATGAAAAGCATTTGTGTGAAGATGATAAAGTATGGTTATCATTACCTATATATTGATATTAAACTGGTATTGTAAACTTACTGTAAATATGTGAACTTATTATGGTCAAATAATAAGTCAGCAAAATAAGATGCAGCCATGTCAGTCAGTAATCATTTAAATATAGTCTTAGGATGATGAAGACTGCACTTGTGGACTTAAAGTTAGTGTCATGAGCAACAGCGTGGGATTAAAAGCAAGGACTCTGGGCCAGTGGCCTGAATTGACCCAGGGCCAGCCAACCTGAGGCCTGTGGCTTCAGTGACATCGCTTTCTTTGAAATTGCTTCTACAAATTGCTGTTCACGTTTTTGGAAGCATTGAAGGAGCTTGTATGTGTTAAACACTTACAAGCATAAGTTATATTCTTGATTGGTGGCATGAGAAGGTACTACGAAGCTTCTTTTTCTCCAAAGATGAAATGGTTGAAGTTGGGCTTTCTACCAGAATATGAAAATAAGTAGGTAAGTGGCTAGTCACCTGATCATTTGAAATAAGCTCCAGAAAGTCGCTGGAATGGTGTTTGCTTGTGATGCCCAGAGGATGGCGAGGTGGGTCTTGGCCTTCTCCAGGTCATCAAAGGTGGAGAGAGTGTCATTCAAAAACATGCGCAGGCGGATCAGTTCTGAGACCTGGTCCCTCCTGTGAAGGTTCTCGTGCCTCAAGCCCTCGGCCAGTTTTTCCCGGGCTTGGAAAGCCGTCTTGAACACATGAATGGGGAGGCCTGCTGCCAGGGCTGGAAAGACTTTGTCAAATTGCTTGAAGTTGTCAAGGTTTTCTAGAATAAGGGCACTTTGTGCATCTTGACTTGTAAGATCTCTGCCAAACAGAGTTAAATACCCAGCTTCAAACATCACTCGGTAGCAGAAGGAGTACATCCCTTCCGTCACCCACTCAGTGCTCTTTGATTTAAGAAGGAATGGAGGTCTCAGGATAAGTTGGAGGTTTTCCATCATGGTTTCTGTGAGGGAATTCAAGGCATGACCCTGCAGGGTTTTGATGAAAGTGTCGTTTATGTTTTCAGTGGTATTTCCATCACTTGGATCAATGCTTCTGTGCCCAAAAGCCTGACAAGAAATAAAACATGAAAAAAATTAACAAAAACTCACCACGTGTTGGTGAATGACTTAGAAATACATTGGATGCTTTCATACTTCTCTACTTGACCTCCCCAAATACAATTTGATAGTACTTTGCAAAGAAATGACTAAATCATATTGTTCCTTTTAAGGCTAAGTTTAAATCTCAGTTCTTCAGTGAGGGTACTCCAGACCATCACAGTTATCTATTGCTTATTGCTGAACTTATTTGCTGGCTAATTTGATACTAATCAATATTGTTTCCATTATTCCTTCTTGGTTATATCTTTGTAGATTCAGTTTAATCACACCTTGAGCTACTTAGTGGCAAAGACTGTCTAATATCTCTTGCAGAAAGAAACTCACTAAGTATTGATTTTTTTTCCTCTATAACACTTTCTTAGATAACATCTAAATGATGCTTAAATATCTGTTGAGTTTATTAACAAAATGGAATGTGTGGTGTGAATATGGCAAAGCAACTGTTGGATGTGAAGTTTTCCATCACATGTATTCTGCATGTTATATAGACATCACTGATATGATGAGTTTGTACCTGTCTTATTGAAACAGTGCCATCTGCCTCAGTAAAACATTTAGTTATTATTTCATTTTCAGTATCTAGTTAACAAATGTCAAATATATATCTAGTTTTATTTTTTAATAGGTAATACTAAGAGGCTGTAACTAATTTGATGTATTTTTTTTCTAATAATCTCTACAATAGGGTAATTTTCTAACACCTTTATCCAGCAATCTAAAAACAACAAACTTACTAAATAGGCATATATATTAATAAATAGGAAATAAACAGAATGCTGTATAAATGCAAAATAGGTTACCTTTGCAGAAGTAGTAAAGTGAAACTTTTTCCAATCAAAATACTTTCCATGGCACAACACCTTATGGTATGACAAGGAATTGGTAATGAAGTGGACATATTTTCCCATTAGTTTACAGGTAAAAACATGACCATGTTTCCTTTGATTTGCTCTGAGGAACTCAAGAGGATTGGCCCCAAATTTCAGAGCACAGCCTAGGTATGGAATCAACCCATTCTCCAGAGGTGGTTCACCCATTCTCCTGAAAGACACAAATGTATGACAGATAAGGAAAATTACATATTTGGGTTACTTTTATATGCAAGGTTTTCAGATTTCTACCTCTGAAATTTCAAAATTCTATCTCTGAATTTCAAAATTCTGCAGTTTATAGGTACTTCTTTTGTTGATGGGGTCCTGCTCTTTTACTAAAATAGAACATTTTATTAACCTAGTCACCACATGATACATTGTTGAAAATGATTACTAAAGTCATCCATCTAATTTCTCGTTTGTCATTATAGGATCATTAACTGTAATGCCATGCTCTGTCATGCTACCTTAAATGTTTTTACTAGAAAATGTAAATTTATTGTCTTCCAGCATAAACTACTCTACTTCAGAGGATAACAGAATATGAAGTGGCATTTTCTTATTGTGAAGGTGAGTAATTTGATTGAAACTGGAAATGAACAGGACTGGATTAAAGTACCTCAAAGAATGAAGAAACTTGCAGAAGGCAGACAACACATAGCAGTCCACAGAGCTGAAGATCTGCTGGAGGTTATTCTCGTCTTGAGATTGACTTAACAGAAAATATCTACGTGCCTTCCCCCTAACTGCTCTTTGAACCATTCAGAAGTTAAGTAAAGTATGGCTCTGGATTTATATTTCTTGAATCAATTGTAAGTCAGTGATAACATACAAATGAAGTATGTTATATACACATTTAACAGTTTCCCAATCACCCTGGTTGATTGACATTAAAAAAAAAAAAAAGAGTAATAGAATGATTAACTAGGGCTCTATGTTCTTGCCCAGGCTTTGACTGAGTCTGTGCCCAAAAACGAGTTGAAAAGACAACACTTATTTAGTCAGAGTCCCTGTCTAATCCTTGCGATAGAAAGAAACCCTTTCCATTGCAGATTTCCAAATGCCACATGTGTCCCTTGGACTTGCTCTGTACATGTACACAGGAACACACACAAAGACCTTACAAATTATCTTTCAGTTGTGTTTAACAAGTATATATATTACCACTGGTATGTGTCAATACTAAAAAGGGAAACTGTTTTAATATATTTTGTTAGATTTAGTAAAAAAAAAAAGATATCACTTAAAATTTTAATGTGAAAATATCAAGAAGTATTTGTGTATAGAAAACCAAATTTATTATATTGTATAATAATTTATTGTATAGTAAAAGAACATCAGATAAATGAACTAAAAGATAACTTAAAGAACAAAAAACTTTCCTTACCTTCTCCTTATTCCAAAAATAAGCCATAAATAACAGCACATTGTTAAAACAATTCCCCAGATCAAAAATATGGTTATCATTTTGCAAACCTAATGAAAAAATCTCCAAAGAAGGAGAATCTATGATTTGAGAGATAAGGAGGTCCCTGAACAGAGACTCAAGCTATTCTTTTTATACCCAATAACTTAAACTTGAATGACCAAAGCAAACAATTAATCATTTGTTCATCGTATTAGGAAAAAGAAAAAAGAGGGGGGTATTAACTAACCTTTGAACTAAGTCCATAGTGTCAGAAGAGGTTCCAAAACAATCAGAGACCTGCAATACTTGATAAGCTGAAGGTCTTTCAAACAGATGTTGACTTAACATCAGGACTTGGGGACAAGAGCTAAGGTTACAAATTTGATATTTCTATAAAAAGATCAAACCTATTCAAGTAGAACAAATCTAATTAAGTTGTAAAATATAATTTGAAGAAAAACAAGCATAAGGTATTTATCAAGTAAGTGATTTGATTTGTTACCTTCTGAGGAAGAAATTAATTTAAATGATTTTCCAGAAAGATGCAGCAAATAAGTTCAAAGGAAAGAACTGGGTGGACACTTTTCTTGCATCATGTTTCAGTGCTTTTACAAACGCGTAGATATTTAACACAGATTGAAACATGTTACTCACCTAACATCATCAGGAAAGAAGCCTTCCACATAAATGCATCTTCCAGATAAACACAGCTTCAAATTTCATCATTATTCATAACCAAAGTGTGTATTAATTTTTCTAGTCATTTAGTAATGTGTTTTAATTTAAATAATTTAAAATTAACTGAAATGTATCTTGGTAGAAAGTAAATACCCATTTACAATTTACCTCATACTATTCCCAGTCAGAAGTAATCACTGTAAACTGTTTGATATATATCTTTCCAAATTTTAACTTTTTTTTTTTTTTGCAGTATTGGGGATCAAATTCATACATCCTGAGCAATCACTCTGCCACTGAGCTATAACCACAGTCCACTATTTAACATAAATATTAATTGAACATTTAATTATGTTCCCAGATCTCTTCCAAGGTATTTTGACTAAAATTATTAATGGTATAAACAGGTTCCCTGCTCTCATTGGGATTGTATTCCAGTGTTGAAATAAATAATAAAATATATATATGAAGAATAAAATAAAACAGAGTGCAGAGCTACTAAGGGACAAAGATAAAACTTTCCTGATCAGAAAAGTCCTCTTGAAATTGAAATCTAAATGTCAAAAAGGAATCACACGTGTGAACATCGGAATAACATTCTAGGAAGAGGGAAGAACAAATGCCATCCTGAATTAAGGATGAACTTGATATATCTAAGAACTAAAAAGAAGGACAAAGAGATTAGACCAGAGCAAAATTGGAGAACGTTGACTCAGATATGAAAGACATAAAGATTGGCAAGATCCGCCTTGTGTAGGGATGTTTGGAATGGGGAAAGAGGTTTTGGAGGGCAACAGGTCTGAATATGATTTGAGACATTTGAAAATCTCAAGTTTGGGAAATCTACTAGAAATCCAAGGGTCAATGTCAAATTAGCAATCCAGAGCCAAAGACCAAGCAGAAGGCCAGCATTGGGGATATAAATTTCAAGTGATTAGCATTTGAATGCTATCTAAAGCCAAGAGGCCCTAGGAGGTCACCTGGTGAGAAAGTAATGAGAAAGATAAAGAATTCCACCCCAGGCCACAGAGCACTCCATTCACAGAGCTCAGAGAGGTGGAAGAGAAGAGAAGGATAAGTAAGAACCAGGAGGAAAACTCAAGAGAATTTTGAGTCACAGAAAGCAAAAGTAGAATCCATTTGAAGAAAAATGAGTGATTAACTATATTACTTGCTACTCTGAAGCAACTAAAATGATTTAAAAAAATGTTCATTGGATTTGGCAACATGGAGGTACTGGGTGAACCACATTAAAAGCCCTTTTAAGGCTTTAATATAACACTGTATGTATTTATTTGATTTTATGGTATTTTAAAAAATCAAATACCATGCCTCAGAATTTCCCATGAATATAAACATATTAAAACAATTACATATATATGTATGTGTATATATGTATGTGTATATATATATATATATATATACACACACACACACATATAAATGTATATATAAACAGATATATATGTATATATGTACATATGTCATATATGTATATATACTTCTTTTAATATGTACTTAGAATCCCACCTGAATAAATGAACTATAACTTATGTAATGGATTCTCTATTGAGGGACATTTGGGTTATTTCTAGATTTAGCTATAGATTCCATAGATTTATAATTTTTGCCTCCTTAAACATAAATCATAAATTGTGATTTATGATCACAATAATTAATATCAATCATTACTGGAAGTACACAGATTTTCTCAGAATCTGGTTTTTTTTCTTGCTTTGTGCACATTAAATATGTTTAGGCTGACATTTAAAGTTTAATATATCTTCTTTTTATATGATTTATGAAGAACCTGAACCTTTATGTAGCCAGTCAGCAAAGTTTCACAGTCAGAGAAAACTCTAATCTAATATCCAAACAATGTAACCCTCTAGAATCATCTTTCAAACAGACAAAAATGAAAAACAGAGGTAATAGGGAACTCTTTGGTACTCTGTCCTCGAAATTATGTGAATTTATAATAATATCAAAAATAAAAAGACTTTCAAAATGTAAAGGAGAAATGCATTCACCACCTCAGGAAAACTTTCTTATAACTTCTTTACCCACTCTCAAAATACCACAAACTCCTTTCAAATAGAGCCTGGTTAGGGATTGGAGCTTTAGCTCAGTGATAGGGTATTTATCTAGAATGCATTGGGCCCTGGATTCAATTCCCAGCAACCCCCCACCAAAGAAAAATTGCTTACATACAAAATAGAGTCTGGGCAGTGTTTATCTCAGTTAGCTTTATCTTTTTTTTTTTTTTTTTTAAGAGAGAGTGAGAGAGAGAAAGAATTGTTTAATATTTATTTTTTAGTTCTCGGCGGACACAACATCTTTGTTTGTATGTGGTGCTGAGGATCGAACCCGGGCTTGCACACATGCCAGGCGAGCGCACTACCGCTTGAGCCACATCCCCAGCCCAGTTACCTTTATCTTGGTCTATTCTTTTTACTCCTTCACTAATAATCTCAAATATACAGAAAAGAAAAACCTGAAACACACACACACACACTCACACAAAAGCAGATGCTTAAATATTAATATTTTTCCCTGTTACATATGTTTTATGTCTTTCCTTCTGAGAATGTCACTACTTATTGCTGTCACATATCCACAAATGCCATCTATCATAGCCCTCATATGCTGCTTTTAATCCAGGGGGTGAGGATTCAGATGCTTGTTGCAGTTGTCAAATCTATCAACAGACTGCAGAAAAATACCTCAGTGCCCTCCTGAGGAGTACCAGCATGTGGTTTTGTGTGTGGACCTTAAGACACCTTGAGGAGTTGTCAGCATCATGCCTGGGGCAACAGGGAGCAAATATTGCTGCCTAGATGGCAAGCCTTTTGCCTGTTTTTCTTTTGTGTTTCACCTGGTGAAATTTTATTTATTCTCTCTTCTCCTCCACCCCTCTTCCCTCCCCTAGACACACACACACACTCACACACACACACACACACATAGAACCTACTAAATACCAGGCTCAACAGTCAGCACACAGTATAAACAAACCAGCCATGACCCTGACCCTGCGGAGTTTCCATTTGCAATAGGGGAGAGGGTAAGCCCTGATGAAGAAAGAGGACTAGTTGGCAGAAGGCTGGCATGCTAAACTGAGTTTCTCTAAATTCTAATCCCTCCATAGCCTATCAGTTCCTTCTTCATGCGTGTAGTTGTGCAGAGAGCCACACAAATATGGAAGAAATGTGGAAGAAGAACTCGCTCTGGGCCTCAGAGAATATAGGGTCTGAGTCAAAAACCCCACCCCCATGAACAAAAATATGTAAAACACGCAACCTGTACACTCAGAAAAATGAGAAATTATATCCCATCTGATTCAAATGTATGATATATCAAAGTCATTGTACTGTCATGTATAACTAATTAAACAAATAAAAAAAATTTTAAAATAAAATAAAACATGGAATCTTAAATCAAAGTAGAAAGTTAAAGGAACAATGAAAGCTCTCAGCTTTTTCTTTAAAGAAATGCAGTAAACAGCCAGTGACTAGGAAGCTGAGGCAAAAGGATCACAAGTTCAGATCATCCTGGGCAATTTAGTGAGACCCTGTGTCAAAATAGAAAATGAAAAAATACTGAGGAAGTAGCTCAGTGATAGAGAGCTTCTAGGTTAAATCCCCAGTATAACAACAACAAAAAGAAAAAGAGAGAGAGAGAGAGAGAGAGAGAGAGAGAGAGAGAGAGAGAGAGAGAGAGAAATGTGGCTTGGGCAAATTAGATTCCATCTTAAAATAAAAAAAATTAAAAAGGGCTAGGAATATAGTTCAGTAGTGGAGTACTTGCCTAGCACATGTGAGTCTGGGCTTGATCCCCAGAATTATAAAATAATAATAATAATGACTACTATTATAATAATATATGACTATTATTATAATTATAATATTATTATAATAATGACTATTATACAAAATAAAAATAAATTCAACACACACAAATCTGATTCCTTTAAATGAATCATGAATATGATACACATTGTATCAACTACTTGTTTTCCTGAACCCACAAGTCAAACCAGCTCTCTATTGTGAAAAACAGATCGCCTCAATTAAGGCAATGCTTTCCATTTCCCAAGTGCATGACAGAGCTGTGGGGAATCAAAGCTGCCATGAGATTCATAACTTAGGACCAATCAGCATAGTGGACTGGGCTGGAGAAACCTTTTTATGATCAATTTGGGTCTTTCAAAATAAACTATCCGAAAACATGTGTATTCACACAGGAGCTATGTCCCCAAGAAGGAATAGGAAAAAAAGTACCTTATGGCATAAATAGATCATCTGATTCTCAAGTACAGTTTTGGATCTTAAATATGTGATTTTAGAGTTGTAAATGCCTAGAAGAACTAGAGAATTAAAAGGTGTTGGTAAGTCTTATTTCAGAGAAACTTTATAA